CAAAATTATGTGCAAAATATTTAAGTTTACTTGGCATGCATATATATATTGATGATTTATTGTTTATATGTTTCTCTAATATATATTGTTGCATGGTATATTTATATAGGGGTTCTATATTTATTGGGATGTTTTTTCAATTTTTTTAGTTACGATGAATGGCGGTGGACTTCCTCAGCCACAGAAACCAGGTTTTCACCCTGGTGATCTTCCATTCATGCCATCGCCAGATAGGACTGTTCTGCGTTAGTAAGACCCATCAATAGTATGTAATATTTTAAGTTTTGCGTGCTAATATAATTTTTGCATATATACATTCATTCATAATATGATTGTTGCATATGTCACAAACTATAAAACCGGTCAAGTGGCTGGAATCAGCACTATGGCTACTCGAGACAACGACAAGTGAGGTCATGAATGATGAAGGAGGTGAGTTATGGACGTGCAGTCTCACCTTCGACATCCCCATTAGATACAATAATGAGGTGCGCCAGGATATCGTGTAGATTGGACGACGATCGCCGACCAAGATAAGCGCCCAGATCGATGATGTGCTGTTTTGTTTACAGGCAATTGAGCGAATTGGCTACCGTATGCCTGATTTCTCGTCCTTGAAGATAGAAGCTTTACGTGAGCATAGTCTGGATGTGTCGCGAGTAAGCGAGAGGCATGCGACATTCAACTATATGGATGTGATACGTCGTGTATGGTATGAGAGTAATGTTTATTTATTCTTATTATTATATGAGCGCTTCCTGATATTTTTTGTTTGTCCACTTACAGGTTTTGCTCTATGGTTTCACCTATGCTACATGTGGCTTGCAGCCCATTCTCACGTAAGCTCTTAAGCGACTGGGGTACGCCTAGGACTTCGTGGAAGCGATGGGCTAGAGGACGATAGCTGTCATCCAGTATTGCGTGAGATTTAGGCAGAACCAGACCATCGATAGTCCGTCAGTAGACTACATCTATGGGATGCCATGTCATCGGCTTTGTGAGGCAATGTAGAGTGTTGTAGTACGGGCCTTGCATTACATAGACAATGACCGTGGTCACATAATCCGAGACATACACTACTAACAGTGGAGACAGACTAGGGTTGCAGCCGGTTTGTAGGATCTGTGTGTTAGTTAGGTTTATTCGTACTGTTATGTTTAATAAGGTTTATTCGAACGGTTGTGTACTTTAATTAGGTTTATTTGTATGGATATTTTTTAATTATGTTTGTATGAAAGTTAATTATATTTTATTAGGTTTATTTGTATGGATATCATAATTATGTTTGTATGGATTGTAAGGTTCTCTAAGATCTTTATTATTATTTTGGCCATTTCTTCATTCGATAAAGTCGTAGTCTACGTTGTTCACAAATTTACATCTCTCTCTCTTATAGTTAGATGTAAATTTGTGAACAATGTGCAGCACCACTTTGTCGGATCAAAAAATAACTAAAATAAAAGTTTTAGATCTCGAAAAATTACACAACTTTGTAGTTGACAACTTTTTGATATGAAATTTAAAATTTGAATTTTTAAAATGTCCTTAAATGGAGAAATGACCAAAACGAAACGTGTAGATCTCGAAAAGTTATGCAACTTTGTAGTTGACAACTTTTTTATTTGAAATCATCTTGTCAAAGAAAACTATGTTTGAATTTATGAGATTTGAAATTTTAAATTTTAAATTGTAATTATAATTTATACCATATGTTATTAAACATTTAAAGCATGAGACAAAAGCATTATAAATTGTATATGAAAGCAAATTTGTAATGCAATTTTTTGAGCTATATCACCGAATTGGTAATACGAGAAAGTCAACTTCATTAGGTAGTAGTGGTGACATATTATGTTTGCATGAACTTTGGGGAGTACTTGGACATGTAGTGTGTAATGACTTGGTTTAAATTTATTATGGTTTGTATAAAATTTAATTGTGGGATGGATGTTGTAATATATAATATCTTTCTTAATTAATTTCACTCTTAATATGTGCGTACAATATTCAATGCAAAGAAACTATAAAAGAAAAGAAAAGAAAAGAAAAGAAAAGAGACATTGAGTCCCGGACTGGAGGTGTAATACGTGGCAGCGCCTAGGACCTAAGCTGGAGCCGCTTTTACTCTCAGTTGGTATTACCAACCGGGACTAGAAGTCCCAAATCAATCCTGACTGAGAAGACCGGGACTAAAGCGGGGGCCTTTAGTCCCGGATTGGCAGTCCCAGTTGAGAAACCGGGACTAGATGGGCTTTCCCTACCGGGACTGAAACCCACTCCTGCACCAGTGCCTCCTTTCTAAACTTTTTTTCTACCTAGAGGATGAATTAGATTCACTGGGACGTCTTGCCTTAATCTTTTCTACAAAGGTGTTGCAGGTTCTAAAAATGGACCACTGAATCTGAAAACTCATTGAACTGAAACTAAAAAGAACATTTTAACTGAAACTGAACAAAGAAAATAACTTGACTAAACAAGAGAACAACTTCTGAAACTCAACCACTAACCAAAGAACTAACAACTAATGGAATCAGATAGCCAAAAACTTGCCCTAGACATAAAATAAACTACAAGTTAATAAAAATATCTGACTAAAATCTAAAAGACAAATTTAAAAGATAACACAAAAGACTACACTCGAAAAAACAAATGGCAAAGGTACTAGGTAACAAGTTATTTAACTCCAATGAAGCAAGGTTTCTAAATAACATAAATATTAAACCACTGACACTCGAAAAGAATAATAACTGAAACTGAATAAAAGAAAACTTCTACAAATGAACAACTGATAAAAGAACCATATACTGAAGAATTCTCATTTCCTTTACAAATGCCAACGTGCTCAAGCAGTACTGTACTTATTCATTGGGATCCAACAATTCTACACTCATTGGGATCCAACAATTTTTGTTCCCTATATATATATAACATGTTCATGGCACATTTTCACACTGCATGTCTGCATACGAGCACTATTCCAAAAAAAGTCGTACGAGTATACGGTTCTATCTTGTAGGGAAACATATCCAGTATAGTTCCATGATCGTTGGTCACGAGCGACGACGAGGAGGCTCGGGACGAGGCGGAAAGGCAGCAGCTGCTCAGCGCGCGCGTCCGGCGAAGCGGTTCTCGACGCGCCTCTAGCTCGGCGCGGACACGGCGGGTCACGGCTGCGCGGCCGGCCACTGCTGATACACAGCCCAACAAGAAACTGAAACGGCCCAGCAAGAAAGAAAGCCAACGGAGATAGTACAAATCTCAACAAAATCGCAGCCATAGAAAACCGATTGATTAAGAGACAAAACAACAATAGATAGATGAATGAATAGAAATCCCGATTAAACAATTACTATTCCTCTAGATACTATCAAATTACGAATAAAGTTGCAGATAAGAGAAACTAGCATGAACAGGCGTGCTCCGCCGGGCCGGTGTTTGCCTGTGAACAGTAACGCGAAAAAGAAATAGGAACAAACAGTCAAAACTGGTGAACAACAAGCGAAACGGGTGGACAGTAATTAAACACCGATGAACCGTGCTTGAACAGGAGGTGAACGGTGTTTGAACAAGAGGCGAACAGTGAAAAACAGTATCTGCAAATGACACCAGTGTCTCAAAATAAATAAATGGAGAGAGAAACTGGATATGCAAATTCAGGTTTCCTTTGGATTGGAGGATTTTTTTTTCTTAAATCATGTTAAATTCCCGTGAAATTCATGCGTTCCATAAAAGCCCTTAATTAAAAGTTGCCGTGCATTTTTCTCCCCAGCGTGACAATGACACCAGTATTATAGGACATTAGGACGTTAAGCATAGGTGACCAGCCAGTGTCCAGATCTACTGTGTACTCTGGACTTGCGTTAAAACAAACCATGGATCCTACAGGATATAAGTTGAAAAGGATTTTTTTTTCTGAAACTTTGAAAAGGATATTTGGAGGCGTGGAAGGATGTTCGTTTCTAAGAGTTTTCAGATAAGACATACTACTGAGCAACTTGACTCACCTGCAGAAGAACGCAAACTAAGTCTGCACAAACCGTACGAGAGGAGACTTCGGCCCAAGAAATTGTGGGTGCAGGATCCATCCTGTTTGTTCTTCCTCTCCTCTGTTTCGGCATGTATGCGGTCAAATTTCGCTACAGATTAGTTAGGTTGGTTTGGTTGATTGGTCATCAGGAGTCTTTCTTCCCATTTTTTTTCTGCTACAGGTTTGAAAGTGAGGTGTGGAGGGTGAATGAACAATTACCACTATCAACTAGTATAACTTTAAAAGTAGTACTACCTTTCTGTTTCGGCATGTATGCGATCAAATTTCACTAAAGATTAGTTAGGTTGGTTTCGTTGATTGGCCATCAGGAGTCTTTCTTTCTTTTTTTCTTTCTTTTTTGCTACAGGTCCAAAGTGAGGTGTGGAGGGTGACCGAACAATTACCACTATGAACTAGTATAACTTCAAAAGTAGTACTAGCAGAAAAATTGAAATATTTGTTTAAGGCGAAATTATTTAGGAGCGAAGAAACATTGATATGCAAGAAAGCCTCAAGCTTTGCATCCATTAAGACTCCGCACAGAACACAGGAACTTTACACAATATATATATAGGAACATCTACTATTGTGGAACAGAATTCTGAGAAAAGAAAATCCTAGGTCGTTGTTGTCAGTCCCCAAACAGTGTACCAAGACTAAAAGCAGAAGAAGGATAGACATTGCCAGGCCAGCACCGGGGCTGCCACTAGCAAGAGCAGAAGAAGATGGATCGATCTGGGTCCAGTGAAGTCATACTTCCACTTCCCTGATCATGTGCTAACAAATAACAATGAGCCGGCAACCTGGACTATCTATTGACTTGGACTACGCACATTCTGTAGCTAGTGCAGCCCTCCAACCATATACTCCAGCATGTATGTGCTCCTATTGCCTCTCTTTAAAAACAAACACAAGCGACTAGCTAAGAGCCTCACCATTCAAGCAGCATCATTGGCAGTAGCAGCAGCAAACAATGGCGCTGCTCCTGCACCATCTCTTGGTCGCGTTCATATCCCTTGCACTCCATGCCACATACGCATCCCAGGCCTCACTCGCTGCTCCTGAAGCATCAGGCCATCCCAGCGCAGTTGGCGCTGACCACCTCGCGCTCATGGCGTTCAAGTCACACATAACAAGTGATCCACTGCAAGCCATGGTGCCATGGGGCAACCAATCCATCCCCATGTGCCAGTGGAACGGCGTGGCGTGCGGATTGAGGGGGCGCCGCCGTGGCCGTGTGGTGGCGCTGGACCTCACCGATCTCAACCTTGTTGGCACCATCACTCCTGCGCTGGGCAGCCTCACCTACTTGAGGCGGCTCGACTTATACAAGAATCTCCTCCACGGTTCCCTGCCAGCGGAGCTGGGTGATCTCCAGGAGCTGACATACCTGAACCTCCGCCACAACTCCATAGAAGGGCAAATCCCGGCGTCGCTTTCAAACTGCACAAGAATCAAGGAAATCTGGCTCTACGACAACAAACTAGAGGGGCAAATACCAAGCGAGCTCGGCTTGCTGCGCGACCTTGAGGTACTCGCTGTTGGACGAAATAGACTTATAGGGAACATCCCTTCCAGCATCACAAGTCTTGTGAATCTGCAAGTGCTCATCACAGAAGTTAACAACCTTACCGGAGTCATCCCGCCAGACATTGGCAACCTTGTCAACCTCACTGTACTTGGCCTAGGCAACAATCAGTTCTCAGGGACCATCCCTGCCTCGATGGGAAACCTTTCAGCCTTGCAATTTCTAAGTGTCTCCACAAATAGCCTAACAGGAAGCATCCCGCCACTGCAAGGCTTGTTATCTCTCATTGAGCTTGAGTTAGATACCAACAATCTCGTAGGACACATCCCACCTTGGTTAGGAAACTTTTCATCATTGACTACTTTGTTTCTTAAGGAGAATAGTCTGGAAGGGAACATCCCAGAGTCGCTAGGGAACCTCGAGATGCTTAAGGTTCTTGTTCTGGACGATAACAACCTTCGAGGCCCTGTACCTCATTCTTTTGGGAATTTATACTCACTTAATGAGCTCTACATACAATACAATGGACTAGAAGGTCCTTTACCTACTTCAATATTCAATCTTTCCTCTCTTGAAGCCCTTGACATACAACGCAACAACCTAAATGGATCTTTTCCGCCTGATTTAGGCAATACTCTGCCAAAGCTCCAAAAGTTCTTAGCAAGTGAAAATCACTTTCATGGCATGATCCCACCCTCCCTCTGCAACGCCACGATGATTCAGTGGATTCAAACAGTAAATAACTTTTTATCAGGAACTATTCCTGATTGTCTGGGAGTCCACCAAAAGAATTTATCGGTGGTAACTTTTGCGGAGAATCAGCTTGAAACTAGAAATGGTTCCGATTGGGGATTCATTTCTAGCCTGACGAATTGCAGCAGTTTGCTGTTATTCGATGTTGGTGACAACAGGCTTAAAGGTGAGCTACCAAATACAGTTGGTAATCTTTCCACAAGTCTGCAGTATTTAATCACAAATTACAATAGCATAACTGGAAAAATACCTGAAGGGATAGGGAATCTTGTGAACTTGAAGTTCATTGAAATGAACAACAATCTTTTTGAGGGCCCTATTCCGGACTCATTTGACAGGCTCAAGAAGCTGAATCGATTATACCTCTCAAATAATAATCTTTCAGGATCCATCCCATCAAGCATCGGCAATCTTCAAATTCTAAATGTACTGGCTCTTGGAGGCAACGCACTTAGCGGAGAAATACCTCCCAGTTTAAGCAGCTGTCCTTTACAACAGTTGGAGCTCTCATACAATAATCTTACTGGGTCGATACCTAAAGAACTTTTCTCTGTCACTACCTTGTCTGATTCTCTGCATTTAGAGCACAATTTTTTAACTGGGGCTCTACCGTTTGAAGTGGGAAATCTCAAAAATCTTGGATTACTTGATCTTTCTGGCAATAGGATTTCTGGAGAGATTCCATCGTCCCTTGGGGAATGCCATAGCTTGCAGTATCTCAATATGTCTAGAAACTTCTTTCAAGGGAAAATTCCGCCATTGCTAGAGAAACTATTAGGCCTCCAGGTTCTTGACCTTTCCCGTAATAACTTTTCTGGGAGCATCCCGAAGTTCCTTGAGAGCATGAGAGGGCTTGCTATCTTGGATCTTTCATTCAACAACTTGGAGGGTGATGTCCCAAAAGATGGAATATTTAGCAATGCAACTGCTGTCTCGATTTTGGGAAATGATGGTCTATGTAATGGAATCCCTGAACTGAAGTTGCCGCCCTGCTCCAACCACTCTACAAAGAAAAAGAAGCCAACATGGAAGCTTGTCATAACGGTATCCATATGCAGTGTGATTCTATTTATCACATTAGTAATTGCACTGTTCTTGTGCTACTGTAGGGCCAGGAAGACAAAGTCAAACCTACAAACATCATTTATCAATGAGCAGTACAAAAGAGTTTCTTATGCTGAATTGGTCAATGCAACAAATGGTTTTGCCTCCGAGAATCTAATAGGAGCAGGAAGCTTTGGCTCAGTTTACAAGGGAAGTATGACAAGCGATCCGCAGCAACTTGTTGCTGTGAAGGTGCTCAACCTAACACAACGTGGTGCCTCTCAAAGTTTTGTTGCAGAATGCGAGACTCTGAGATGCATTCGACACCGGAATCTTGTGAAGATATTGACAGTGTGCTCGAGTATTGATTTCCATGGCACCAACTTCAAGGCTCTTGTATACGAGTTCCTACCTAATGGAAATTTAGACCGCTGGCTACACCAACATCGCATTGAACATGGTGAACAGAAGGTCCTGGATCTCTGCACGAGACTACAAATTGCAATTGATGTGGCATCAGCACTGGAATATCTTCATCAAAGCAAGCCTTTGCCAATCATTCACTGTGACCTTAAGCCGAGCAATGTTCTCCTTGATAGAGATATGGTTGCTCATGTTGGGGATTTTGGGCTGGCAAGGTTTCTACATCAGGATTCAGATAAATCAAGTGGTTGGGCATCAATGAGAGGAACAATTGGTTATGCTGCCCCAGGTGTGCTTCTATTTGCTACAGATCTCTATTGTCTTATAGTAGTAGTATGTTCCACTTTTGAGATTGAACTATAATTTTTTAAATATTTATTATTTTTGTGTATGTTTTGCTTGCTTAAATAAGAAAGTTTCGGTAGCTACTCATTTAACGTTATGGAAACTAACTATGATATGTAAAAAAAATGTTATGGAAATTCATCTTGGAAAGCAATCCCTGACATATATAAGTGCTCGCTCCATTTTTTTAATTTCACCTTCCTTTTGTTGATTTCAGAGTATGGCCTGGCTAACGAAGCCTCAATCCATGGTGATGTATATAGCTACGGAATACTATTGTTGGAGTTGTTGACCGGAAAAAGGCCAACTGAGAGTGGATTTGGAGAAGGCCTTGGCCTTCGCAAATATGTAGACATGGCATTGCCAGACAGGGTGGCTACTGTGGCAGATAGACACTTGCTTCAAGAGGCAAAAGATGGTGAAGGAAGCACCTCAAGCTCCACAAGCATTGGAGATATGAAAGTCGCTTGCATCACTTCAATATTACACGTCGGAGTTCAATGTTCAGAGGAGGTACCGACAGACCGCATGCAAATCAGTGATGCTCTTAAAGAGTTACAGGCAATCAGAGACAAGCTTCGGAAACATCTACAGTGAAGGGCAAAATTGTGCTGACATACTGCAAGGATTATCTTTCCATTGAGGCGGGGGTTAGGGTGTTTGAATACGACATTTGGATCAATGAAACCAACATCATTATTATTTCTCTTTCTGAGTTCTGTTATCTCATATCTGCATATATAAAAATATAGTGTGAGGATATATAATTTATATATATACATGTAGCTTTATATATATACACTTTAATAGTAGAAAATAATCACACTTACAGACAATAGCAGCTAATGAGACTTTTGTCGAGAGAGTCCATGTGGCATAGTTGGTGTAATTCTACAAACTCGACATATATAAGCGTCATCGCCACGGAAATAATGTTGGTTTCTAACTCTGACAGGAACAAAGGCCTCTCCCCATTCACATGCCGCCATGTACCACTTGTTTAGCATGTATATTTACGTACCCAGTTCACCTAAGGCCTCAGGGTTGTATAGACTCTTTCCATGTTCAAATTTCTTCCAAGGATCCACTTTCGGAGCAGATGGTCCTTCAGCGAGCACTTGGGCAAGGTCCAAACCAGTTTCCTCGTAAAACCGAGCTAGCTCCTCAAAATCGACGTCTAAATCTAAGTTCGAACCATATTCATTACGAACGACAAGAGGGGGGACTGATTGTTGCGATTGTTATCCGAGTTGTGCAACACCTTTCCCTGGTCTAGTCTTTTTCTGCGCCGCCTCAAATGACTTGGTGAGAGAGCGGTCGTAGTCTGATTTTGGCATGGTCTTTTGAGATTCTCGCTTTTTCTAGTCCACCTTCTTTCTTAGAAGATCTGGAGGTAGGTAGAAGTATGGTTTCTCCGGGTTCTCCCTCGCTTTTCGTTGCTTTTTCACTTTTTCAAAGAAATTGTCCACTTCTTTTTGTACTGCAGCATTTAATTCCTTTTCACTTTTCTCGTAAGACAGTTTTTGGGGAATAACTAGATTAGATGTGGCTTTCTTCTTTGCCGGTTGGTGGGCCAACGGCTTCGTTTGCGAGGCGGACCTCTTAGGAGCTGGCTTCTTCTTAGTCATCAAGGGAGGCGGGGAAGGCGTTGGAGACATCTTTGGAGGCGTTGGAGACATCTTTGGAGGCGTTGGAGACCTCCTTGGAGGCGTTGGAGACCTCCTTGGAGGTGGCGGCGGTGGCGGCGTTGCCACCTGATTTCCTGGAGCACTATGATGATCCGGAGATTGGATAATTGGACTTAGGTTGGCGGAGACCCTGCTGTGTGAGTAAAAAAGAATAATTAGGTATAAGTGTCGATGTTTTACCACCGATAGCCTGCCACGGGGGTCCCCAGGATAGTATGTTTAGGCTTCAGCGTATGCAGAACTCGACAGTTAACGCAAGAGACAGTCGATTTATCCTGGTTCGGACCCTCGATCGTAGATCGAGTAATAGCCCTACGTCCAGTCGGCGTTAGCCTTTGCGTTGGATTGATTGTGAAGTGTTGTGTTGTCGTACAATTGTTTCCTGAACTCCCTAGGACCTCTGCCCTCCTTTATATAGTTAGGAGGTTAGAATCCTAGTCGGTTTACAATGAGAGTTCCTAGTAGAATTACAGAATAATACTACTACTAAGATTATATGTGAAGAATCCTAGTTAGACTAGATCTTCTCCCTTCCTTGCGGGGTATCCTGTGGGTCCCGCACTGACAAGCCCCCGAGCACTTCATGGTTGAGCTCTGGAAGCCTCGTCTTGTTCCTTTAGGTCTTGTCGAGCAGGAATAAGCGTCGTCCGAGTGCTTTCTTGAGCGAAACCGTGTAGCGCTTCGTGAGATCTTCACGTGGTGTGTACCTTTTTGAAGAAAAAAGTACTCCCATTTGGGTGTAGCCCCCGAGCCTCTTGCTGTTTGGTAGAAGGAGCTAGAGGGTCTTCTTCTGAAATCGCTTTTATTCTTCATCGAGGGGCTCTTGAGCATATACCCGGGTTCTTGGTCAAAAAGAGCTTGGATATAGCTATGTTCAGGTTCTTTTTGTTGTGTGGCCTTGAATTGGTCTGTCTTGAAGAAGTTTTCTGGGTGATGTGCACTTTTTTTTAAAAAAAGTGCACTCACTGAGTGTAGCCCCCGAGCCTCTTGCTATTTGGAACAAAGAGTTAGAGGGTCTTGAATCTTATGTTGTTTGAAAATTGCTGTCTTGAGGAAGTCTTCTGAGTGATGTGCGCTTTTTTGAAGAAAAAAGTGCACTCACTAAGTGTAGCCCCCGAGCCTCTTGCTATTTGGAACAAGGGGTTGGAGGGTCTTGAATGTTATGTTGTTTGAAAATTGCTGTCTTGAGGAAGTCTTCTGAGTGATGTGCGCTTTTTTGAAGAAAAAAATGCACTCACTGAGTGTAGCTCCCGAGCCTCTTGCTATTTGGAACAAAGAGTTGGAGGGTCTTGAATCTGAGTTGTTCAAAGAACTAGAAACTTCCCCTGTTGCAGCCCCCGAGCATTATTCAAAAAGAACTTGGATATAGAATCTTGGCATATTCTCTAGTAGTCTGTTGTTGTCAGATGTAGAGTTTGCTGCTTTCAGGTGTAGAGTCTGCTGCTTTCAGATGTAGAGTCTGCAGTTGTCAGATGTAGTTGTATGGTGGTTGTTGAATGTAAATGCCTTTTGTTCACGGGTTGTACAGTGTTGGTATATTCTCCGAATATGCTTGTTGTTGAGTACTGTTCCTTTATGCCTAAGTTCTCTTCCATTGAATTCTATCTTTTCACCATGTCCTTTGTTAGGTTTGTTCCGCTGGTGCTCCTGGCCCACGTGCACCACTTCTCTGGTCTATAAATATCCTCCTTGTGTGATGTTTTGATTCATCGAGCACTTTGTTGTGTGGTCTAAAATTTCCGTAGCCATGAATATGATTGTTTGTGAAGTAGAGCAGCCCCCGGGCATATTTTGTAGTTCTAGTATGCCTTGTTGTAGCTGGAGGAAGTCTTGTGATAGGGATTAGAGGTAGACTAATCTCACAGTGGCATTGCTCCGGGAAGTACGTGACGGCAGTTGGAGGAAGTCTTGTGATGGGGATTAGAGGTAGACTAATCTCGCAGTGGCATTGCTCCGGAAAGTACGTGGCGGCAGTTGGAGGAAGTCTTGTGATGTGGGATACGTTCCTTCATCCAGCAGTTCTGGGTTGATCCTCGCCGCTTGTCTTAAGACTGTCTGGTGCAGATCAACACCATATCCGATATCACATCAGACTTGGGTAGACAGATGCCTGTAGGCTCCTCTTGGTCCACGTTGTCCCACCGTGTCGCTGATCTCCGCCTTGGATGTTCTGCTTTCTTCCTTTGAAGAAAACAGTGTAGCTGAGTGCGGTTTGTTCTATCGAGTAGCAATTTGGAACACGTAGTCGTTCCAGAGCCTAGTTGTTTTCGGGTTTCTTTTTGCTACCTTGCCTATCGTAGTTCCAAGTTCGTTGGGTCTTGTAAGATGTATAATCTTGTATCTTTTGAAGTCATTTGTAATAGAAAGAATCTTGTCTTCTGAGTTGTCATTCTTTATTCTGCTGATGTCCCGGTTGTCTATGAGATTACTGAGTTCTTTCTGTAAACAACGGGTTGTTATGTTCCTTGTGAGGTGACCTTCCATTGCTTCATGGCTGATGAGTTCTTTTTGCAGCAATATGGTAACTCTGCCATTTTGCTGGATGGATAAGTCCGAAATCTGCCCGTTGAACTGTACCGTTGTGTGGATTTGTGCCTTCCGTCATTTTAGCTGTGTCAGTAAATGAACCGTTGCATTCTCACACCGTGTTTTAACGGGCCCGTTGGGCCGCGTTTTACCGCTGTAAAATCTATTTAAAGGCCTTTCATCTTCTTCTTCTTTACTGCTCCGCTTTTGCCTTGAAACCCTAGTTTTCAGAAATCCACCGCCGCCATTGTTGTCGTCATCTGAGCGCCGCCGTCTGAGCCTCATCTTTCCCTAGTGCTTTTTTGCTTCCGCTAGTACATGGGTAGGAAGAAAGTCATGAGCAAGTCCCAGGCGACTTTCATGGACGAGGAGTCATCACTTTCCGTGATCGAGAACCAAGAGTTCATGGCCATGAGGGCTGCCCAGAAGTTTTGGCCGGCTCCGACAACGACTGAAGACCAGCTTCGCGAGCTCATTGGCGATGGTCTGATCTAGAGCAAGGACATTGCTGAATGGAGGGCTCCAGGCGAGCATCGGGTCCCTGCTCCAAGTCCTAGTGAGATTATTCTTTTCGTCTCCTTTATCCGTGCCGGTCTCTGCCTTCTTGCTTCTGCCTTTCTTCACCAATTTCTTAACTATTTTGGGATTAGTCTGAACCACCTTGCTCCCAATGCTGTCCTTCATCTTTCCATTTTCATTCATCTTTGTGAAATCTTTCTTGGAATTCCTCCTTCTCTTTCTCTCTTTCGTTACTTCTTTCACCTGAAGCCACAACCCCGCCGTGATGACACCAATGTTCTTGGTGGCTGTGGGATCTAGTTTTGCCAGGGTCTTAAGAGCAAATTCTTTGACTATGACCTGGTTGATTCTATGAGGGATTGGCGTGCTGATTGGTTTTATGCTGCCAACTTGAGTCCTCCTCTTTCCGTTCACTCCGGATCTGGTCCCTTGGTTAATGACCGATGGGAAAAGAACCCTGTGATGACTGCTGAGGTCCAGACGATTAAGCCTTTTCTCAAGAGGATTTGCATTCTGAAATAGCAAGACTTGACCAGCTTCGGGATTATTTCAAGTTTTCTTCGCCACCGAGTTCAACCTTTGAAGGAGCGCGAACATTATAGTTTCGAGTACTCTGGGGCAAAGGACCCTTCTCGTATGGTCCCTGCCCTTGAGTTGACTGACGAGGAGGTGCTCGAGCATCTTCAGAAGATGCTGAAAGGAGTAAGCATCATCCCGCTTGCTGTCCTTGAGTACAGTGCTAAGAACCCGCCTCCAGCTGTAAGTTATTTTCTCTTTGTGTGGGTACTTTTTGTGTTTCTTCTATTGTATCCATTTTTTGCCTAATCTTCCTTGTCTTGTTGTTTTGCTCTTTTTGTAGGAATT